GGGCATAAACAGCCTTTTGATAGATTGCTGTTGAATTATCTATATTATTGGAACAGAAACTAGACAAAATATATTTGATCATGTGAAATATTATTAACAATATTACTATAAAAGCATGCTGAGTGTCAGCAGAATGACATTAAAAATGTTAGCATGCTGTAAAATACATACTGAGTAGTACCCAAAGACAATAATAATACAAAAATAATACAGATAATCAAAGACATTAATAATATATTATACTACAACTGGTAGTGGATCCAACTGGGTAGATGAGGCATCATGAAGCGTTTTGACACATTAGCAAACAGCATTGATACTGTGTCACGGAATACTGACATCTAGTGGACTTTAAAAATCCCTACAGGCAACCTAGTTGATAGTCTCCACTGACACTGATTAGATGACCTAGTATATACAATAATATAACTTAAGTCATTGTATTTTATATTGTATTATTTCATATCTTCATATAAATTTAAAATATTTTGAATTTTTTTAATACAGTCAAAATGTGATCATGTGTCATAATGTCAAAATCTAAGTGAACGTGTTGTGAATGAGGATGCTTGTGGACTTGGAATTTTTTTCTTACAATTTTCGATTAAAAAAAATAAGTTACGTTTTTTGTTACTGCAACTTCTGTAGCTTGTAACTTCTCCAGCTGTAAAAAAAAAAAACACCCGCACCCAGGGCACAGAAAAAAAAAAAAAACACCCGCTCTCAGGTCACAGGTGAGGCTGGAGTGCAGAGAAATTGTAACAAAAGCCGGAAGAGGTTTTTAAAAATTGTCACTTCGAAACAATTCATGTCATCATCACGGGATTTTTTAAAAGCGATACGCGCACCTACACGGGGTTTGCTGTATTAGCTTTCAAGCTTCATATTTACCACATTCACTACATATTGTAATATATTCTCATAATAATAGTGTTGGTTAACACTATTCCCTCCAAATATACAGCAAATGCTGATGGACGCGATCTTTAGAGAATTAGTGAGTGGCTCTTAAAAGAGCCGTTGGGTTTTGATGCGTTCAAGGACAAAGCTTAACCTCCGAATCCGTACAGAGTGCGGCCCTGTCTCTTCAGAGCATACACCACATCCATAGCGGTCACAGTCTTTCTCTTGGCGTGCTCAGTGTAGGTGACGGCATCACGAATCACGTTCTCCAGGAACACTTTGAGAACACCACGGGTCTCCTCGTAGATCAGACCGGAGATACGCTTCACTCCACCGCGGCGAGCCAGACGACGGATGGCGGGTTTAGTGATTCCCTGGATGTTATCACGCAACACTTTACGGTGACGCTTGGCGCCTCCCTTTCCAAGACCCTTTCCTCCTTTACCACGACCACTCATTTTTCTTAGTTGACGATAGAACTGAAAATTACAGACTGATTGTTGGTGACGAAGCCTACTTGCATATAAAG